ATTCACTGGAACAACTGTTTTTTCTCAGTTCCTGATCGAATTCGCTGAAGCATAATGAAGTAATCACAAAAAGACTTATTTCAGAGACTGAAATGAAATGATAAAGCAATAAGGAGCTGATATATTTACTCATTGGAATGTTCACAGAGTGGCTTAAGATCAGTTCACAATTTCTCACTTCTGTTATTTTATCTTTTACAAAGCAATACATGAAGGTGACATTCAAATGAACAACAGAATCATACTATATCATTTCTAACCAACCTAAATCACACGCTAACCATCACCGTTTTCCCATATGTACGCAACCGAATGCGACAGTAATGCTCTCTTCACCACTACAAGTGGCTATCTCTTAAAGGATTTTGATCGAATTATGACCGTGAAACGTCTCGTCATGCAAATCCCCTTCTCGGTTACACTTCAAAACATCAAACCAACAACCGCTCTCAAGCACAAAATCTTTCATACTTTTCTTTCATAAGAGGTGCACACTTTTGTTTGACCTTACGATGAGTCTTTACAAAAATTTTCAGCCTTAATGCATCACAGATTTTGTAAAATATCTTATCGGAGAAACCACTGACACAAAGTCGGCAAATTAATTTTTGTTTGGGAAAATGGGGAAATAAATAAGCACGTTGGCTACCCCAATAGATAACTGCAAAAGAAAGCTGATGAAGTTTGTAAGCAAAACATGATTTCATATCGAAGGAAAGATTAATCAACCGAACGTCAAGAAAACGATGGTCAAATCTGCCAATATTTTGAAACAATTAGAATGACAGGCACTAATTTTGAGTTACTTCTTTATGATTTAGAAGCGCATTAACAATCTGAATTCTCGTGGTACTTTAACTCGGCAATATTGATCATTTATCTGGAAAACACCACAAGAATATTATTAGTTCTTAAATGACCATTCCATTTCATTTCAAAAGCACAAACATGGAAGTTTGTTCCATGAAAGCTGTTCAAAATTAATTTATTTGGGATCATTAAGTATGTTTGATCAGTGAAATTTTCTCCGCAATTGATGACAGTCAATCAATAATCTTTTATCTCAGGACATGCATCTCTATGCGCTTAGCATCTCACTGACCGCTGTTTGTCCATCGATGCTTGAACTTTTTTTAAGCGAACAGTATGAGTAGATATTTTCCTCTTCCTAAATATAATCGTATTTTTTCACAAGCAGACCTATGGAGTAGTTATCGAGAAATTTGGATTGTGTACGCTCTTATTGGTGCTGATAGTTAATATTAAATCAATGAATTGATTTTTACTTATGTTGGATTGTGACGCGAATGGAATTCAGAGTAGAATATTACGTTCATATCAAAATGTTTGATTTAGCTTCTCAATTATCTAGGAGGGGAATCGAAAAAAAAACAGGAATGCAGCATGTCAATATGATGATAAAGCAATAAAAACGAATAAACTTATCATCATCCCATAACACAGTTATGAGATGATGATAAAAGTTTCCTATAAGAATGCCAGCTGATAAAATGAACAAGCAATTCAGCAGTGACACATGCGATATTCGCAGAGAATAGGCCATGTACCAATTCCATTTTGTCTAGGTCCCATGGATTTTGCTCATCTTTTCACTTGGATATTCCAATTCTTCAGTCTGACAACAATGCATTGAAGTAAAACCTCAACAGATGAGTAAAATATAACCTCGCAAAAACTGGATGTTGTGATTTCGCCTACCTTCATATTTGGTGTTTGCATGAATTTGATTGAGAATCCATTTCTAAAGCACTAAGGGGATTGAATTCAAGTGATATTTACGAATAGCTTCATCGATTGTTCGATAAAACGTGGATGTACTTTTCGCTCAATGTGAACGTTGAGAACACACAATTAAGGCTTGGCATATCGTTGTGGACAAAGTGATAATGCTGAATGAATTGTAAGAAAGTGCCTACCTCTTTTTTATCTCATTTTCATCTTCGTTTGAAGCTTAGATTATCTCTTTCATTTCTCGACGTTTAGCGATCACACCAGAAGTCTCTGACAAACGAATAGTGGAAATGCAATATATCAGCCACTTATTGGGTGTGAACGAAACTGGCTGACTTAAATCACGAATTTTATGAGAATTTTCGTAATAAATTAATATGAAAAATAGGCACACCAGAACGAATGGGTCATGTTTTCAATTAAACTGAATTAACTTATTTTTAGAAACGTAAAACAGAATATTTAGTGTATCAAGTATCTGACAAAGTCATTCCAGAATCCCTCAGGTAACCATGAACTGATTAATCTATCTTCCCAGAGACATAGTTGTGAAAGCGAAATGTCTGAGTGAGTTACAGTCAAGTTCAGCTGATCACTTCAGCGAATTTGAATGAGCTACTTCGAAGCGATAAAATCGACTACACAAATGTATCTATATTCGTTTATTATGGCCATGAAGAGATACGTGTTTCAAAATGCTTTGTTTGAGTGTTGAAGTGTGATACAATAGTTTCAAATTGTGCAGATGGTGCGTATTCGAATAGCTTGTCTTGCACTGAAACACTATGCTTGAAGTGCAGGAAGCTGGAAGACGTTGATTATTTAGGTGGGAAAATGATGAGGGAATAAATATTTGAAGAAGTAATAAAGAGTAGCGGGGGGGGGGAGGAATAGAGGGGAAACTGAATGTTGGAAAATGAGGGAAGTGGAAGGATGATGAAGAAAACGGACGATGATGAAAATTGTGGAAAGGATTGCATTCGTTCATCGTTTGCTGCTTGATCGTTTCCTTTGTTCGATAGTGAGAGTCTAGTTGTATAAAGCAAAGCAAGCCAGCAAATAACAAGCAAAAAGACCAATCGAGCTGCATGCGCATTTATTTTTATATACTTATATTATACATTATATATTTTATATTACATATATACAACTTAAATACATATTATGTATGTGATTGAATATATACCATATGTATTCAAAATACAGATGACTCGTGTTCGATCAGAGTAAGTCATTGAACACTGCTGCAAAACACTATCCTATAGATCGAACAAAGCATTTTGAAGCATTTAGTAATTGTTTCGAGCAACTAATTGTAGATTTATTGCTAATTTTCAAATACCTATTTCCACTTCCGCATAAAATTGAGACAATATGGTATATAACAGTTCCATTTCCACAATAATACATGATGATATGAATAGTGCCAATTCAAGATTCTTATGACAGGAATGTTGAGAGCAAAAATGGTATGATCAAAATATTTAGATCAAATAATGTCTTTCAACAAAATAACAGCTCCATTTTCTATTCATATTAGCCGCAACAAATGCGATTTGCTTATGTCAGGTTCTTTATTAAGCCTATAAGCTGTGGAAAAACTTTTGTATATTACTGCCTGTTCAGAACTATTCAACTTTCAAGGAACACTACTGGCGATATCCCATGTAAAAGCACTAATGATATTCCACAGATACTAGTAAGGTATCGATACTGAAATATTAGATTGTTACAATGACTAAATATAAGCTACATTATGTAGTAAGTGCTGATTCGAAGAATAAAACATGAATTAGTATTTTGCGAACGTTCTCATATGTTAAGTACGTAATTTATCTAGATTTTATTCGGAGGTCGTCTAGCCCATTCAGGTAAAAATCGATCATGTAAGAATCGTGAAAATGAACTACGATCGATGATTCGTATTGAGGGAAGCATAAAATTCTTATTCAGTTAATGCGACTAATTTACGGTAACGACTGGCTGACCCTCATTGATGGTTTGCAGATTAACACACGTATCTTAGAGAATAGAACACATCGACGAGTCCCTCCCTAAAAAAGCTTTTCTGGATATGTGAGAACTATGAAAAATAACACTTTTTCAATTCAGAGAATATTCATTCAATAAAAATGCACCATAAAGATGATAGCCGAATCACATGAATAGAATATACAAAGGCCATGAAAAGAATATTATATGTGCACGCATACAATCATTTGGCATTCGTTGCATTTGGAGGTAATCCCATCAGTGCATGACTGCATGCTCGACGAAATTATGCTTCAGATTGCTAGGTGAAAATTCAAGCTACAACGGTCAATGCTTAACAATTGATCAGTTCAGAAGATGGAATTCAGTGAGGATTACTTATTGACGAATCGTTAACAGCAATTACGATAACACTCATATTAGAAAAAATTTTTAAATAAATTTATAAGTTGTTCGCTATCAAACAGACGATCAATTTTTACTGATTTAATAAAAACGGGTTTCATTTAAAATACGTTTCAAAGACTGTAGCGATGTAGTGAAAGTGTTTCTTGACAATGACATTGAATAATTAAAAATTATTTCGCAAACAACACTTATGAAATCGAACTTATCATTAGGAATTTGAAGCCGTTAACTGACTGAGGTGTTGATAGAACGATTTAAAGGTTGAAGCGATTTGGTAGAACACTCAAACATGTAAGCTCAAAGGGCCCGAATTCTGGATTTGACAATTTGAATTAAAACAGTAATGTCACCAGCATTACCGATCACTAACACTTTAATGTGATCGAACGGTGAAGATAATGCTGCGGAAGCATCACAGTGCCTCTGATCAAACTACGATTAAATCGAATTGACAATGAAATTTTAGTGGAATTGATGTTTCGAAACGAACTTATTCATCGCAACTATTCAAATTGAACAGCTAAATTTGAGCTTACTTGCAATGTTTTGGTCAAGGACTGGTTATTATGAGCGACTCAGAAATTGCAGTGATGTTTCAATAAAATATCATGCAAGTGTTACCTTTTAGCAGTAACTGGCGGTTTTTGAGCTGCATGGGAACAAATGGCCAGCTGAATAAGTCAGCACATATTTATCACACATTTGGTCACAGCAAAAGATAATGAAAATTAGATCAGCTCAGGAAAAGAAAATGAATAACGATATTCATAATAATGACGATGATAATTATCATAAAATAAATAATATCGGTAACAATGTAGTAGCAATAAATAGTTATCATATGACCATCAATTATAAACAAACGTATCTTGTGGATATGCGTTCGGGTGAACAATAAGTTCTTGACCATATTGAGGTGTCATTCGTTTCTCCTTCTGCCTGCGATTGCAAAACCAAACCCTGACCACTTCTTTTTCGAGTTGTAATTCAACGGCAACTTGTGCGATCTCTTGTGCATTTGGCTTGGGATTCTTCTGGAAATGATACTCAAGGCGACTTTTGACTTGAACTTCGATTGATGTTCGCTTTTTGCGCTTTCGACCACCTTGACCAGTCATCTTCTCGAAAGCGCTATTCGGTGATGAACTTGTTGAATCTGCTTCTTCCAGCCATTTATACAATAAAGGTTTTAATTTACACATATTCTTGAAACTCAATTGCAGTGCTTCGAATCGACAAATAGTTGTTTGACTGAATACATTTCCATAGAGAGTACCGAGTGCAAGGCCGACGTCAGCTTGTGTATAGCCAAGCTTGATCCTGCGCTGCTTAAAAGTTTTAGCAAACGCTTCGAGATCTTCAGAACAAGTAGAATCAGAATCATCAGGCAACTGAGTAGATGAGAGAGCAATATCCTCTTGTGAGAATGTGTAAGGCCATGACGAGGGAGCAGCTGATAGTCTCTGAATAACGTCAGGTCGTTCTGGTTCAGCTTTCATTTCGATCGGAGCTGGTGGTGGCGCCATAACAGCAGTCTGTTGTAATTGCTGTTGAATATGCGCATGATGATGATATGACCATTCAGGTTGTGGTGGGAATAACAATTGGAATGGAGCTGAGGATTGCGGGTATTGAACAGGTTGTGAGGCTGTAGGCCATCGTTCACCGAGGTCCTGGAATGCCTCACAGGTCGGTTTGATTACCTGCGTATAATTCGCCTCTTCGGGCGCTGAGAACGCCGACGACAACATTGCACATTGGCTGATGATCGTGCTGATGCTGCTGCTGCTGCAGCACTATCGCTACGTTCCTTCTCGCTATCGCTCTCTGATTGGTGATTGCCGTCGGTGGCGCCACGCCCATCAACTACATTACGACTCTTGCTTGGCATTGAATCGGTTTTTGGACGTCTCTGATATGAATGCCACGCAATACAATATTCGAGCAGTAGTCTTATCGTCGTCACTTGATAGTCGTCCATGAAATGATCATTTAAAAACTAAAAATACTCGCTTTTAATCAGCCTTTCGAAGTTTTATAATCGTACGATAACCATCCATACACAACTAATGTAAGCGTACATTCAGATGTGTGTTGTTTACTACTGAGCAATACCAAACAATGATTGAACATTATACAATTCCAAACTGTATCCCTTATAAAGTGTTAGCAACAATTTCATTATTTGCTGACTATCATTAGGATGATTCGAATTTCTGAGAAGTGGGAAAGGGGAAGGAAGAGGATGGGGCCACTTTCAACTAACGTCTATTTCTGATGCTTATAAGTGCAGTGCAAAATATTTCAAACTGTTCGAATTGTCAGCGTGCTAGTTTCGATAAAACAAAGCCTGAATGCAAGAGATCTAAGTTCCTATGGACCATGTTCTTGATAAGGTCACAAAAAACCGCCAAAATTTGCATCAAGATGACCATTTTTGGTTTTACAGAAACAAAAAGAGAAACCGATGACAATGGGAGCTGAGAAGTTAATAGAGAATATTTTGAAAAGAGATGTGCACTTTGGTACCAAGTAAAAGTGACAGAAAAGCGTGATAAAATGGGAAACGTGTGGTGCAAATTACGAAGAGAAAACGAATGTGATCTCACATAGAAAAAACGCTATCATCACGTCGTCACCAGTCGAACTGTTTTATTCTCCTATCACTTCAAGTGTTAAATGAAAACTAACCATTAATGAATATTGTCATTTGATCATATGAAGTAATTATTAACTTCGTCACAAAACAAATGTTTCATGACAACTGACCACAAAATTCGCATCGCATAGAAATAATATTCTGAAAGAAATGAACAAGCACCAAGAGTATTAAAGTTGCGTTGTGAACGTTCTGCCTGCCAAGCATTGAGTACTAGCAAAAAAGGTTGTGATCTAGGGTAACGTTTTGAAAAAGTCGAGCACTGACAATGCAATATTGCAATAGTACAAGTCTGAGACAATTTCAAAACGCCATTGCTGAGCTCAAATATAGGTAAGTGTAATTTATGAGGCGAACCAATTCGTGACTAGTTTCATATTCAACAACAAATCTTAAATAATGACAAAAGAGGCTAATTCTGGAGGATGATATGATCTCGTGGACGATTATCAGGGTGCTCGATACGTATTCAGTTGATAACTATGTCCATGACTACATTTTTCTTCTATGTGTTTCTTTGAGCTTATTCGCTTGACTGTCTTTCGAACCAAATATTTTACAATTCCTCAATCTCCAATGAGGTGTTTATGCTTACTAAAGTGGTGACGAATTGAATTTACGATGAAGCTTTTCCGAGTATTTTCACAATCATAAGCTTAGTTCTTTGCTTCAGTTTTCTTCAATAATTTTTCATATAACTTTTGATCACATTCATTTTCAAATGACTTCATTATTATAGTCTTACAAGAACGCGTTATTCTAAAAAAAAAAGATGAGAACGACCAGTTTTTCGCTCTATTCTGTTTTCCAATCGTGCTTATCAGTTATGCGAACGAGAACACTCTAAAAGATCGGAGTCGTTTATCTTCTTCGAAAGCCAAATGATTGCATGAAGCAGTATTCTAATGATAATGGAAACGGGACGTTGTCACGACGAATGAATGGATAAATTGATTAATTGACAACTAAACGTCGTCGTTAGCTTTTGTTCGCATTTGGCATCGCTTTATTTCGCGCTATTGCTTACGTGCAACATACCAATTGATTCCATTCTGTTAAAAATTCTCTCTAATTTCATTGAATTGTTGATACCAATAATTTTAATGAATAAGCCAATTTCGAAAATGCTACGTTTTTAATGTTTATTCTTTTCAGTGAAACAATGTATGTTATGACGACAAAAGTCTCATTTAATGTTTTTGTTCGGCTTTTTTTGAATCTATTCTAATCGTTGTTGTCTGCTGTTATTTTTGTGCCGACCAAATAAATGTTTATCAAATCTGTTAGATGGAATCGAGCGATCAAAGATCACCTTTCAAATACCTAATCAATTCTCAATGAAACTCACGTTTAACTTTTCCAATGCCAAATATCTGTTTGCAAATCTCTTCCTGTCTTTTCGGTTATGTTTTTTACCTAAACGAAAATGAAAGACCATTCAATAAAGTCTTGATTCAGTTGATTTTTCAAGGTCTATTAGTGAATTCAGAAGCACTTATTTTCTATGAACTCCTATATTGAATATTCCAATACTTGACCACTACGCAACGAATGAATGCAACCTTTTTAAGTGATTAACGCCAACTAAATCCATGCAAAATTCATGTACTCCCTTTGAGCAGTACTAACGAATATATAGGATGAGCATATCTGGTTAGAGTTATTGAGGTTTAACTTACAATGTTATTAGCATGTTAATGGTTTAAAATTGTTGTTATAATTCAGATCAACTATCATGTTCCAATTAGACACATGTAATATTTTTTCGACGATGATCTTATTGAGCTGACAATAACCAGTTCAAATAAACATTATGACATCTGATTACAAGAATTTAAAACTTTTGTCGTGTGATTGATCGAGGCTATAAATTTTGATTCTAAATGAGTCAGTAAAACATACCCACCTCCCACTGAATTTAGCATTGAAGCATTTCGGTTTATGGATCTCTCTCGTAAGTCTACTGAACATTGCAAGCGAAAATAATTTAGATTTAGTGAGATGTGCGTCACAACAATTCTATTATGCATAAATTGTTGTCAGCTTCCAATGATAATCAGCTTTGTTTGATTTCTCATAACTCACGTTTACACAGGAACTAATTTATTTGCAATCAGAAAGTTGATAACAATCGTAGTTGTAACATTCAATCCGATGAACAATTCTCACAATCACTGAACAATCACATGTAAATTATGTAAATTATTCTATCTCAAATATTGATTTTAACGTACTATTTCAACATGATGATGATGTACTACGTATGATCAGCTCTATAACAGTATGTTCATGTATCTGTATGATGCTGTTGACATTATTTTGAAATATCATTGAGCATTTATTACGTTTATTTCCATTAGCGAAAGGTTTTTGACGATTAGTTCATTTTTTCCAGATCAGTATGGCAATGAACAATAGAGAGTAACAGCTACTAATGTAATTTCCAGATCAAATTAAGACCTAGAAAAATGCAAGTTGGAAGATGAAGAAATAACGACAATATTCACTTTTTCAAATGAATTAATGTGTTAATTGCAGAGTTATGGTGGGATATAAACTGCTACTAGAGAGTAGTGGTAGAGTCTTTGAAATGTAACAATTAATAAAGAATTGACACTCGATGAACAACAATCTTAATGAATTGCGTAGGTGTGATGCTTACGGTAAGCGACTAGTTGTCACAGTATGGAGCGTTGTCTATCAAAGAGTGGTTGTTCGAGAAGTGTTGTAAGGCTGGTTGATAGCAGTGATGATGATGCGTTGACGGTCGGATGGATGGATGAATGAATGGATGGGATCTGTTGAGAGGCAAGTGAATGGTTCAAATTGAGATGGTCGCAAAGGCGCAGTGTGAGTACATGAAAACTGAAGAGAATTAAGAATAAGAGTGAAATGGAAAGAACATTTTGAATTGCGGAATTACATTTGCATACGTAATAAGGCAGCAACGATAGATGCAAAGCTGACGAAGACTGCTTCGTGCAGGTGATGTGTCAGTTATATTGTGAATGCACCCAATCCTTTTATGAACTTGATGCTAGTAGTATTGATGGATGGATATTCATTATTACTCATCATCAATACTATTATTAGTTGTTACACTGTCGTTGTTATAATATTATTGCTATGATTGTTGCTGTTATATAACAGTTATTATCTTGTTATAATAATTGCTATCATCGTACTTAGCTCTTGTCTGCTTTCACTCAACTTTTCATTCATATTACCGTATGCCTCCTTCACATTTATGGCCATCATCTCAGTCAATAGCTGTCAGCTCTCTGCTTTTATCATTTACCGCCATCACCACATTACCGCAATAAAACAACTCGCTCTATTCAATATATCATATGATAATTTATTAAAAACACACATCATATATATATGTATATATATAAACATATCCACACCTATTCATCGAACTTCCTTATGAACTCGAGAATAACACTGAGGGCTCACAACATTTTTCTCAAACACCCATAAATGGCGTATTCAAGGTGACAAAATTCATGCTCAAGAGTTAATTATACCTTCCGACATTTTTGGAGGTAGAACAGATAAGCATTTAGGGTTATGGTTCTGGATTTAACGACAAATGAAAGTGATTCAATTGATGAAGGCATTGATCAAATGAGGAAGAGACTCAACACCATCACCAGACGTAGAAATGATGTTCATACTGAAAGAACAAGAGAAGTACTAGATCTCGACCTACTTGATGACGAGCACATATTCGAGAGGAGCTTATATTTTGGGGCATCGTACAAAAGGTTTACTGTTTCATTAAGAAGGTTCAATGCCTTATAGATGCAAGTAATCGCAATAATATAATTCAATCAAAAACTTCCCACATTTGTTCAGTTCTTCAAGTTTTTATCGCTTAGCTGTTCCGTGCAAGTAATCATTATATCGCATTCGTAGCACTGAATAATCATATTGCTTGCATTACTAAACGTCTTGTATGTGTTCATTCCCTATTTTCGAATTTTTGTTACAGGAGAAATGTAATGAGAGTAGAAGAAGCAAGAAAACCGGTATTGAAAACAACCGTAGTTTATGACACTTTTCTGAAAGTTTATTCAATCAAAGCAC